CCTCCTTCCTTCCAATTAAACAACTAAGAATATTTCAATTAAAAATCCAGCTTACAAACTTTTCAGAACTGTCCAGCGACCATCAGTAATGGTCCAGAGTTCCTACATGGCGATAGTGGGCTATGTGATCCATTCTGGTCTTTATACACTATCTCCACTTGACACATCTACATCACTTGCATTACTCATGGTGTTCCTGCTCAGCCCATGAGCATCCGGTCTTACTAACAGTGAGATGACCCCTGGAGACCTTCATTCCATGAGTAGAGTACGGTGCTATGAGTGTCCGAGATGACCTGGAGAGGGGGGACCACGTTCTGAGCAAAAGATGACACAGGACTGCTCCAGGAAACCTCACGCAATTGCTCCTCCTTTCCACTTGGCCTGAAGTATCAAGATGCCCATGCTTTGGGCAAGGTCCCATGACACGGTTAAATCCGAAAAGGGAACAGCCTGGCTTTGCAAGTTGCAGAAATGTTCCTCCGTTGGGGTTGCTAGCTGATTCTCTAAGTAATTTGCAATTCAAGTGTCTCTTTGTTTTGTATGAAAATTTGCTGCTATTTGGAAAGTGGGGAAGAGCTAAATTGCATCCTGCTGGTTTTACTTTGACTGTATCAAAAAAGAAACTGTTAATCTGGTTCCATAATTAACTTTCCTGTTCTAAAAAGGCCCTGGGAGAGAGTCCAGAGAGCGGCTGTCAACTCCCTGCTTCTCTACTCAATAACTCCTTTCAATAGGATGCCCTGAGAGGAGAAAGATTCCAGGTGGGTATTGGTCTTAATTTTCTTTTTCTGATTTTTATTTTCCTTAATCCCCATCTAGCCCAACATTTTTAGTGAGTGCTACCATGGGTGCCACTATGCTGACTAGTCAGGGGCATAAATATAAGAAGCCACTAAGGAGTTGCAAGTGCATGTAACCAAGTTGAATTTGCATCTATTCATCTATCCACCAAGCCATGCGAAATGTGTTAGATTTCTATATTATGTCAGATACTGCATTATGTGAAAATATGAAAATGACTTAATCAGCATTCAAGGGTTCTATAGTGAAGAAATATCTTCTGGCTAGGGCCATAGGAGTTGGCTTCATGGGAAAAATGGCACTTAAATTGTCTTTGGCCCCTATGTTAGTTGTGTGCATGCGCAGCTGTAAATGAAAGGCTAGGGGTTTAGGCCAACAACACAAGCAGAAGCATATAGCAGGAATGAAGTCTGAAGATCAAGGGGAGACCACCTTTGCAGGAGCAGAAGGTTTGGACTGATATTAGAAGGTAACTAATTTGAGTGCTGCTAACCATTGCGCTAAGTGCTTTTCATGTCTCATTTCAGGGAAACCTCACAAAGCCAAATAGTAATCATTGGCTACAAGTTAACGGACAGGAAACAGGCTTACATAAGTTCTTGGGGAAACATGGTGGCAGAATAAAAGACAGAGGTGAAACCTGAATCCCTGTCTGATTTCAAAGCACAAGGTTTAACTATTAGGTAATTTTTTTTTGTTCAGTGGGAAACAAAAGCTAAAGCACTCGAGTTCTCACCAACCAACTGGTCCATCTACCAATCAGTAATTTATTTATGCAAATACATATATGTTCAGTACTCTGTGCGAAGTAGCACTCTGAGAGTTAGGGATATAAAGGAAACAGGGTAAGCGAGGTCCCTGTCTTCTTGAAGTGTAGGTTCCCAAATAGCACAGTAAAATGTCTCCCCCGCCAAGTGTACAGAGCGAAAGCACAAAGATCGAGCTAGAGGTGAACACCCAAGAAGAAAGAGGACCACTAATTCAGTTACCTTTCCTCAGATCCATCTAGATAATTTGGATGGCATTCCAATTTCTTATTTTCTTCAAGGTGCATTGGTTACCTCTTTTTTTCTCTTTTCTCTGGATTTACTGCCTTGATGTGAGATACCATTTCCCAATCCTATCTCAACCTTAACCTGAGAGGATCTGTAAGGAATTTGTACTTTATAACCCATTCTATAGAACCAAGTAACTTTCTAGAGGTGCTTGGGCTCCTTTTGGTTCTAGCTTTAAGGATAAAAAAAGACCCTAGTCTTAATCCTGGTCCCCATTCCACACTTACCGGAACAAACGACTTTGAGCACTTACCAAATGTGGTTTGAAATTAAGGCTTAGAAACACCCATTCCATGTCTTTTTGGGATTGGCACATCACACACACCATATACAGGGCCTGAGCAAAGATGGTACGTTTTCCCAGGTTTACAACAGGGTAGGCTTCCTGACTGGTCTGGGTAATATGTATGTATCCAGAGGTAACTTTTTCCCTGGGTTATTCCACTTGTAAATTAAGCAGAAAGCTGTGACAGTATCTTAAATTTAAAGGAGAATGAAGGTACTGAGAGAATCTCACACTCTCTAATCATGGTAAGAAGAATAATAGCTTTCCAAAGATGTCCATGTTCTAATCCCCAGAAATCATGAATATATTACACAGTGAAAATTTGCAGATGGAATTAAGGTTACAGACCTTAAAATAGAGAGATCATTCCGGATCATCCAGGTGGACACAAAAAGAGCACATGGGTCCTCAAACGTGCTCAGATTTGTAGGGATCATTAAAAGGAAGACAGGGTGGAAAGGAAGGCAGAAGGGATCTTCAGAGATAGGTGGTGATGGAATACGCAGAAAGCTTTGAGGAGTAGCGTGGACTGCTCAATGCACTGCGGCTGGACTGAAGATGGAAGAAAGGAGCCACGAGGCAAGAAATTCAGGAACCTCTGACAGCTGAGAACAGGCCTTAGCTGAAAGCCAGTGGGAAAC